ATTTTCAAACCTGCTATTTTTCCATATTCTTCTATTTTTTCTATTAATTTAGGTGCTGTTTCCAATGGATCTTCTAATATGAATACCAGGTCATCTGCAAAGGCTTGCAATTTATACTCTTTCTTTTTGATTTTCATTCCTTTTATTTCTTTTTCTTCTCTAATGTTCCTGTTCAACACTTCCAATGTTAACACAAACAGCAAAGGCGACAGTGGACAACCTTGCCTTGTCCCTTTTCTTATATCTATAGTTTACGTTAGTTCTCCATTTACCATAACCTTTGCAGTTTGTTCGTGGTATATCATTTCAATGGCTTGAGTAAAAAAATTTACCAAAGCCCATTTGTATCAGTTGAGATAAAATGAATCGCCAGCTCACATTGTCAAAGGCTATTTGTGTGTCTAGGAACATCAAGGCCATCTGCTTTTCAGGATGTGCCTTATAGTATTCCAGAGTATCCAGAATAATACTCACATTATCTTTGATTTGTCTCTTTGGCAGAAATCCATTTTGATCAATATGAATAAAATTATATAAATATCTTTTTAGTCTTTCTGCCAAAATCGAAGCAAAGATTATATAGTCTGAATTTAAAAGGGATATAGGTCTATAAATTTTAACTTGCTACAGGTCTGTATCCTCCTTTGGTATAAGTGTAATGTATGCTTCTGTCCATATTTTGGGTATTCTTTTCTTTAGCATAACTTCATTCATAATTTCTAACAGGTAAAGATTTAATATTTCCTGAAAAGTCTTGTAAAATTCTGCTGGTAAACCATCTGGACCTGGTGCTTTTCCAACATTCTGCTTTTTTAAGGCTTCAGTTAATTCCATCATCGTTATATTCCCTTCTAGCATTGTTTCAGTGTCTTTGTGTATCTGAGGTAAATTCGCTTTCTGTAAATACTGCTTGACTTCATCTCTCTTACTCTTCTTGGTACCTGTTTCAGTACCACAATTTTGTTGTCTTTATACTTTAATGTTTTCTCTCTTGCCACCTGCAATATCTGTGTCTTGATGATCTTTTTAGTAAATCTGATGTGAACTTCTCTTGGTAGTCTGTTTCTCATTGCATATCTTGTATAGACCAGGAACACTTCATCCATCCCATCCGTCATTTCCTCTTTGGTTATCTCTAACACTTCTGCCAGTATTTCTGTCATTATTTCAACAAGATTTTCACATTTTCCTTCTTCTACATTTTGAAATCTTAAGTAGAATTCTGATCTATCAATTTCCCATCCTAATGGTTCACACCTGCCCTTCTCAACATCGCTCAATCGAGTATCAATATTTCCAATTTTCTTGTCCCTTTGTATATCTTCTTCCATTTTTTTTGAATCTGTCTTTGTATTTCATTATCATCTGTTGAATATTTTCTACTTTCTCATCTGTCTTTTCAGTTCTTTGCTCAGTAATCTCCATTCTCTTTTCAATCTTCTGAATTCCTTGCATAGTCATCTGTAATGTCACTTCCTTCTCTTTCTCCTGTTGTAAGATTATCTGTATTAACCTCCAGATGGTGAAGAGGCTATTGGTATTGAGGAAGCTGGGGCTGTTCTTTCTGCTCATCTTATAGTTGTTATCTGTGAAGAAAAAAAGAGAAAAAAGAGAAAAGGAAAAAGAGAAAAAAAGAAAAAAGAGCACAGGCAGGCAATTGCCACTCCAAACCCAGGAAAAGCCCTTTTATTGGCAGTGGAGAGGCAGCCATTCAAGTTGCTGAAGCTGGGACAGCTCTGGAACAGAAGAGATTGAAAAAAAGTTGTCAGTTTGGTGAGATGAACTTTTACTTATTATTTTTTGAAGAGAACACCCTGAAAGTTTTAAAGTAAAATTAAAAGTGAAGAGAAAAGAGTTTAAGTGGCAAAATTAAGCTAGTTAAAGTGAAAGGTTTTTTTCCCCTTTTTATTGGAACTTTGAATTTGGCAAAGCTTCTTAATTTCAAACTGGACTGGTATCTTTCAAATTTTCTATTTTTGTTTTTATCTTAATTTTTTTGAAAGTCTGTTTTAATTAAGACTCTTCTGTTTTATTTGAGATTTACTCCTTTTTTTTTTTAAGGAAGGATTTCATTTTCTCTTTTTGTTCCTGGCATTGGATACATGAGGGGGGAGTGAATGTTCCTGGGATCGACAGGACATGCCCTTATCAATCACCATCTCTACAGGATGGTTTAGGTCCATTGGAACCGTCCAGCAATGGAGATATCAACGGCAAACTTGGAGGATCAAGATTGCACATCATACCTCCATGATGCCCCCTTGTGCGTAACTATTGTCTGAGCCTCCACAGTGGCTGAGTCCACTGGGAGTTGTTGGTAAGCTTGTGCCATATCAAGTTTAGCAAAAATTTTGCCATTACCAAGTGAGTGCAAAAGATGTTTGCACAACAGGGACTGGGTATGTACTTTGCTGTAGCACTAAATTGACTGTACATTTATAATCCATGAACACCCTAATTGACCCATCAGCCTTGATGGATGTCACTATGGGGGTCTCCCATGGGGCATGATCCACAGGTTCTAATACCCCTTGAGCGATAAGCTTATCAAGCTCAGCATCAATTTTTGGGCAGAGTGCGAAGGGCACTCGCCGTGCTTGCAGTTGCCTTGGAGTGACTTGTGGGTCTAGATTTAGTGAAATTGGTTTTCCTTTGTATTTTCCCAATTCATTGTTGAAGACACTAGCAAATTCCTTTGCTAAAGTGCCAATGGTGCCTGATTCTTGGCCATCAGTGGCATGAACTCCACTTATGGCAAGACCAAGGGAATCAAACCAATCAAGGCCCAGAAAGTTGGGCAGTGCCCTCTCAACTACTATGAGTTGGAGGTGACCTTTAAATTGTTTAAATTCTACTGCTAACTTACACTTCCCAAAATGGGAATGTCATTCCCTTGGTAATCCCTAAATTTGAAAGAGCAGGATCTTAATCTTTTCTTTGACATCCTGGGCACTAATCTCTTGATAGTGCTCCATGACACCAAAGATAAGGAAGACCCTTTGTCAACCTCCATTTGGCAGTTTTGCCCTTCTATTTTAACTGTTAGGGAAACATTTTTCTTAATGGACAAGTTAGTTTGCCCTATTCTGGGGTTTATTGAGTAGTTGTTCCTTTGGATTGTGAAGCAATCCTCACCTTGCTTAGGGAACTTCCTGAGGGTTCCCTTGGTAGATTTTGCCTGAACCCTATCATCAGGCAGAATAGCTCTGCACATCCTTGCTAGGTGGTCTCTTTTTCCGCAGCACTGACAGTTTGCTGTTTTAAACCTGTAGGCTGCTCACAGATGATTACCTCTGCACGCAATATATGTTTGTCCCTGAGAGGTTTTGCTGATTGGCCATTTGTTACCTGACACTGTTTCAGCCAATGTATATCATCCTCACTCGTCTTCATCAGAGGCTTCTTCATGATGGACAGCTATGGCTTTTCTTCCAGCAGTTGGGCTGCTAGTGCCATGAATCTCAACAGTTGACCTATTTGACAGCTCCGCGATACATGCTTCGTCTAGAGCTGATTGAAATGTCAAATCTTTTTTGACTAGCAGTCTGCGCTGAATATGTAGGTCCCCTAGCCTGCTCACCAGCTGGTCAAGTAGGACATCATCTAATTCTTAAAGTCGCAGGGTAGGGCAGCCACTTGATGTCCCGCCATATATTCATTCACCAATTCGCCTTCTGCTTGGTCTCAGTGGTGGAAAAGCATGCCAGCAGGCAATTTGTGAGGGTGTTGGAGCATAATGGTTTTTTAGCTTAGCCATTAACTCCCTCCCAGAAACAGGAGGGAGAGTCTGAGGGACTAGAAGAGTGGTAGCAGAGTCAAACATTTGTTTGCCACAGAAGTTTAAGAACAGCATCCTTAGCTGGCTGCTCGTTAGGTCTACCAGATTGTTCTCCTCCAGGAAACAGTCAAATCTATGTATGACTCCCAGGTTTCTGTGGCTGCATTGAATTTTCCTCAACCACCGACAGAAACAGTTTAAAGTTGTGCTTGACTGAACTGGTTTTAAAATAATTCTGACAGCATCCAGTGGGAGCCTCAAGAGGTATAAAACCCATTAAGCCTTGTCAGGCATTTCCTTGGAAGAAGTCAGGTGAGGCATGATAAGGATTGGCAATGGGATCACCATGTTAGTATAATTTCTGCCAACTCAAGTGAGGATAATTGGCACTTTGACTTAGCAAAAGACTTATATCTTTAAAAAAAGATATAAAGATTGAGTTTGCATTCAATTGTGGCATTTTTTTCAGAGACATTGTAGTGAGGGTCTTTGAAATAGCAGATACAGCTCAACAATCAAAGCTCCAGTCTTTCTCACATGCATACAGTACATGTGACTCAAATTAAAAAGAGACAGGCTTCCACAATTTTGAAGCCAATGCCTATTTTCCTGTGGATGTCCCTGTTTCTAATTGATTTCTCTAGCACTCAGAAGAACTGAATACCATGGCATACCATATTAACATAGCTCTGTCTTAAAATTTTCCATAAGCAGAAGCAGTTTAGTTGTTAAAGTTCTTATGAGTTAAGGGGAACAAACAAAGAAGCATATTAGAAAGACTATGGAATATACTAAATATAGTAGGCACCAAGCATTTTTAGATACTCATTGTCAAGTACTATAGGTAGGACAAGTTGGCAAAGTTGCATAGATGTTCAAAACAGATCTAATCCACAAACAGCATGTGTCTCAATTCATTTCTATCAAACTGCTGTATATTCTTCATGTATTATACTCCACTTCTGTGTTGTAATTATTCTGCAAACATTTGGGAGCAACAGACATAATCTGGTTGTACACAACCCTCCTGCTTCATATGGCGTTTGTGTCTAGAAAACACTTACAAATGATTTTAAGAAACAAAGAAAGTCAAAGCCCACCTGCAATTGGCTGCTAACTCTCTGAGTTGAAATTTGAAGCTTTTCAGTAAAGACACACCTCTTTCAGGATGTTATGCAAAATTCTCTATTTCAAACCAAAGGACAGGAAATATGAAATGCGACAGCCAGAATCCATAGTGACACTGTCAACTATGGTTGATTTATCGACAAAAAAAGGAGACTTGCAGTAATGGAACCATTGGCATAAATGCTCTGAAATTGTCTGAAAGCTCCATTTTTAGGAAAGTTACTGTCTCCATACTAGCAGCTTTTTGCAGCATTAACATTGTTCCTGCTCTTTTCCCTTTTCCCTTTTAACCCTCTGTTTCTCATGCATGATTATTTTCTGACTACAGTGGGATGAATCTGTGGCAAAAGATTTTGATTCCTTTGGTAGGAATGGTATTGGCCATTTATTTTTATTCAGGAAAGGAAGAATTTAAACCTGGTAAGTTATTTTAAATAAAGACATTTTTTTTAATTAAAAAGAGAAGTGGGAGAAAAGAAGGGAGCCTTGTTTTTAAAAACACACAAACTGGATCAGAGTGCATTGTTGGTCATGGGTGACTTTGCTTGGAAGCTTTTACAAGTTATCAAGCCACAGGCAAGAAGATTTTTTTTTTCTCAGCAAGCAGGTAAGATGGGAAATATGCTGGGGGTGTGTGTGTGTGAATTATTATTGTTATTGGAAGGCTTTTGATATTCTATCTGTTCAAAAGGGATTTTTGTTTGTGAAAAGTTCCTGGGGGAAAAATCGTATGATTGTTCTAAAAGCTTTTGTACCTGGAATGCATGAAATGGGTAAAAATTAATGTTTAATTGTATTGCAGAAAGGAGAAAGACAGAGTGGGGGATTAAAATTATTTTTTATGCTCCTCTGGAATGCTAGTTCTTGTTTCTGTTGCTTTCTTGTGAATTGGATTGCTATGACTAACAACTGATTTGAGAGCAGGAATTGCTGGGTATCCTCTTACAATTTTTACTTGTTAGGCATTTATATGGTGGAATGGGAAGCTATTTAATGTCAGCTTTATAAAATGTGTTTCTTGCATATTATTCTCTAGAAATGTTGAAAGGGAAGCGAGTGATTGTTACTGGGGCAAGCACTGGAATTGGTGAGCAGATAGCATATCACCTAGCACGGATGGGTTCCCATCTCCTGATTACTGCACGGACAGAAGCTCTGCTCCAGCAAGTAAATATTAAATACTGATTTATTCCACTATATAATTCCACTCACAAGGTTTCATACATTGAAAGAGTTAAGAGAGAGACAAAAACAACGCTCCCTCAAACTGAGAATGAAGATTAACTCTTCAGAGCCAGAAAGAAGAAAGGAGGTAACTGCCACCATTCATAGGTGACTCTTAAAGGCATTTTTCCTTCTTTGGCTGATTAATGGGGCTAAACTATATTACACTTTCAAATCCCAGGGATATAGAAAGAGAACTGTTTCATCTAGTAGAGAGAGTTAGGGAAAGTTCTCTGGAACAGTTCCTTCTCTACCTGAGGTAAAATGCCATTTGATCTCTTGCTGTGAAATTGGAAAGCAGGGGTGACAGCCTGGTCCAATGGGCTGGTCCAATGGATAAAGTCACAAACACATCAAATAAATAAATAAATAAATAATCATAATCATAATCATAAGGAGTGTGGTAAATATTAAGATTTGGGAAAGATTTACATTTTTAAATTGTGGATCCCTGGTTTTATAGTTTATTATCAGCAGCATGTGAGTATGCTTGCACATCTTTAAGTATGTGTGTCTGAGTGATTGTATCTCCTGTCATGTACCTGATAAAAATGTAGTGGATATTTTCGAAAAAAATGTATCCTTTTCTGCTGATTCAAGATTAGGTGGATGGCATTTTATTTTGGTACAAAGAAGGGACCTGAATTAGTTGGCATTTGTTATGTTATGAAGAAAGAAAAGGATGGGAAGATACATCATAATCCAAAGTACTGCTGTGATTCAGATTACTTCATGAGTCAGATCTGTCTCTCTTTTTTAAACTTTATTAATTTATTTATCAACTTGTATTTAACTTTTAAAATGAGATATAGCAGGTGAGGCACAGGAAGGTGGCTAGACCTGATTGATGACTCAAACAGTATTCCTACTGTCATCATGATAGGTAAATTTGCCTTCCAGGTAGTGATATGCTGAAGAGGGAGACCAATGGAAGTTGGAGAATTCAGCCTGTCTTTCTGCTTATCATTTGTTGCATATCTTGGTGCGGGACAGCAGAGTGTGAATCAGAGCAGTGGTCACAGAAGCTGCATAGTGAACGGCAAAGGGCCCAGTAAATTTCGTGTTGTTATCCTTTTCCACTGATTCAAGAGTAGCACAAAGAAAGGATCTGAATAGGTTTTTGAACATGTAGGAAAGAGGGAGAGATGGAGGGAGAGAGAGGGAGAGAGAGAGAAAGAGAGAGATGTAGACAGACAGATGTAGACAGACATAGACAGACAGATACAGTAGATACACTGATACAGAGAGACTATACTTTTCTGCTATCCAAAGTGTTGGATTTTAACTTTAATAATTCCCAGTCAATCCATTGTGAGTACATGAACTTGGTGAAGGCTGATGTTTTTAAAATGACTGATTAGGGTGGGTGAAAATAATAGCACTGAGAAATAAAGAATTTCTGACAAAGATATAGGAGTGTTAATAAAGCTATAGTAAAGATAGAAGTAACAGGAGGAGACTGATTAATGGAAAGTATATTGTCTTTCCCTTGCATGATCATTGCTGATCTCAATAGATAGACACAGACACACAGAGAGACAGAGACAAAGAGAGAGAATCTGATCATTTAAAGAAAAAAATTTTTTTTCAACTCACTGTTTACTGTTGGCTTTAGTTAAAGCAAGGCAAGCAGACTTTCAGATGAAATCTATCCCATCCTTCTCCATATCTATCAGAAAATTCACAGGTTTTGTTGTGCTTTCTAAGAAACCTGTGTCAATGGCAAGTGGGAACATTTCCAGGTGAGACTTTGAAATTAATCACTAAGTCCCAATCTTTAGTATATTTAGCCAATAACATAGTTTATTTTGGGATATCAATCTCTTTGTAACGAAGATCAATACATCAATTCAGCAAATGTTGCAAATGATATATTACATATAGTTTATTTTTTATGATACCTGAATTTAAGGAAAAATATGTTGGTTTTTTACAGAATATGGTTTCAAATGTTTTATTTTAGAATTATAAGTCTAGCATGACTACCAAAGGAAGTGCTGCAAACTCAATATTTAAAATGTTTTTTTTAATAAATGTTTTTTGTGGGGGAGGGGGGTTTGTACATGAAAAAGCTGAAAATGCTTTCAGCTGAAATTGTTAATGAGGTGGTTTTTCCAGTGGAAATTCCCCACTGATAATGTTGATCCAATAAGTAGATTTAAAATGTGCTGTCAAAATATCCTCTTAAACTGGATTGTTCGGTTGCTTCTTTGCAGATATTTGATTTAAGAAATCCAAGTGCAAAGAGTATAAAAGGTCATGGAATATCTACTAAATTTACTTTTCTATTTGCTTTAGGTGGTTGCTCATTGTTTAGAGTTGGGTGCAGCATCTGCCAGGTACATTAATGGCAGTATGGAAGATATGAAATTTGCTCAAGAAGTGGTGAAGAAAGCAGAGGAAGTATGGGGTATGTTGACCTTATTAGAACATGAGATAGTTCCAGCATCCTATTTCTAACTAACTAGATGCTTCCAGAAGCACAGAACTATGGATTAGAATGTGAAGACAGTGGACTTATGTAATGTATATTTAGTGGTTCAGAGATTAATCATATAATCATCATGGTTAATAATTATTGATTGAGCTATCCTCCTTGCCTTTGTCTTTTCAGTGCTCCTTCGAGGTCCAAAACCCAGGTACATTCCAGCTAAGTAAAGCATCAGTGTGCTAGCTAGAAATAAAACATGATCATTAACATGATCAAATCCAAAACATAGGTATATGTCCAATTTACAGATGAAGTTAAGTCCATTCCAAGTTGTAAAATAGAATCTTTTTTAATGGTGACCATAAGGATTAAATCAATTTGGACAGGCTTTCAAGACTGATGGCATCACTTTAAGGTGGGTCAGTGAAGAAGCTGGCATAGCCAGGATTCCAGGAATGTTCTTTATTGTGTTAGAATAGAGTAACAGAATCTTGAAAGTTTGCTTTTCTGGTCCAAACAAAATCAAAGCAGATTTATTTTGAGTTTCCTTCTCACACTTTTCTCTTTTTCAGGAGTGTGTAATCTTTTCAGCAACTCCCAATCCCCTTTAATGGCTTGTTCAATCTTTCCTTATTTCAAGGTTAGAGCTACATTCCTTCACTGCCCAGCATATTGTACAGCTATATAACAGCAGTGCACTGTTGTTTTCAGATGCAGCTCTGCACTTTTTATCAGAAATGTGGCTTAAGTTCTTCTGCTCTTAATTCTTCCTGGCCCATGGGTTTGGGGAGTGGTGTGTGTGTCCTCCTGTTCTCTTTCTACCACTATCTCAGAAGCAGGACAACATCTTTCTTTCAAAGATGCTAGGATCTTTGTCTTCTGTTCCTCATCTTCTCAACATCAAAAGGTATCAGTAGACTCACATTATTTTATTTAAGCACTTGGAACAATGCAGCTTTGTGTCTTGGGAATTCTATAAATTAATAATGTGTGTTATTAGAGTGGTGTGTCGGCCTAGTGGTGAAGATCCTTTCTTCCCATTCAGAAGATTGAGAGTTCAATCCTAAGTAGAGACAGATGTCTTTCTCACACAGTGCAAAGAGAAAATATCTACTGCAAACTCTGCATAGGTGCCAGGAAGGGCAAACAACCAGCTCCATTCAGTGGCTCTGACTCTGTTCTGAATTAAGGGATTACAGGGTTGTAAAAAGAAAAAAAGCATGTGTCTTAATAAGTAAGTACTACCCTTTATCTGCCCTTAAATGGATTTGAATATCAGATTTTAGTATAATGAGAGAAATGATGGGGAGCTTTATTTCCCTAAAATATCTTACTTTACCAATCCCAGAAGTAAAAAGTTACACATATTTATTTACAGCATGCATGCTTAAGTTGCAGTTTATTTTTTGCACCTTAACTAATTTTAAATCTGTTATCAATTATACACCTTACTATAAGAATGGAAAATAAAATAATTGACCAATTATTACTAGACTTTTATTGATCACAAACCTTCATAGATCATGTAATTTCTTGAAGCTTTGGATCTTCTAAATGGAAAGATATTTAAGAGATAAGCATGGAATATTTTTTTCTTAAAAATTAAGTGCACTAAGGCAAATTTTTACTTTCTAGTTTGCTAGGTTTGCTAAATTTACATTTCATTTTAGTTATTATATTAAAATATAACATTATATAAAAATATGAACATTTGCTTTTGATTCTCAGTAAAGCTTGAAACAAGACTTTCGATCTTCCTGGCACTAAATAAACCCAAGTGCCCTCAGTTGCTAAGATGTACAATTAATTTCACAGAAGCTTTTGTGATTTGGTAACTCCTGCCTTGGCTGACAGACTCACCTGAACCTTACCTTAATCTCAGATTAATTTATTTGTCCTTGTCTGTGCCCCCATCACAGCTTTCCCTTTTTCAATGATACAAAATTCATAAATTAACACCTCATCTTGAGCATTGTTGAATTCTAGTACCTTATCATTACCATAAGATAGAATATTTTAGAAATAAAGAGAATCTACATTTAGTACAATAACAATCTTGGAGATCATTCTCAAAAATAGAAAATAAAAAACATCTGCGACTGTTTTTCTGTACTCCCATGGACTAAATGTGTGGACTAAATAGTATTCTATTAACGTTATACTGGGACTCCTACTTTGTTACAAGGAAACTTGAACGAATATTGAAAAGTCCTTGTTCATACTAAATCTGAGAAAACAATCCTCCAAATTTATTCTCAGCCCTAATCTTTCACAGCATCCTAGAAGGAAAATGTTTTGCTTTCCCCTCTACTACTTGAGTATTTTATATTCAGTAGTGACCCTTAGGTGAGTTTCAAATGTTGTTAGCAGATGGTTAAAATGAATTGCTCTAATGAAGATAATCAATTTGCAAATGAACCATTCATTTATTGATTTATTTCCATTTTAATAGGATCTCTCAACTATTTGTGTGGTTCATGTATTATTTTGGGCACCAGGGACCGGTTCCATGGAGAAAAGGTTTTCCTTAGACCAAAGGGGCGTGGTTTTGCATGTTGTCTGCATCCCATGAATGGAGCTTCCCTTGTTTGCACAGCCCAGTTGCTGGCATGCAGCAGACCAATGCTGGTCCATGGACTGGGGCGGGGGGTCTGTTTTATCCCTTTTGTGTTTTGTATACAATACGCTCAAGAACTGCTTTATAAATGAGTATCACAATGCATTTAGGATTATCAAATAAGTAAGATAATTGCAGAAAAGTATGAGGAATTAACTGGGACTTTGTCCTGAAATCTTCTAAGGCAACATAAAGTAAGGCCAGCTCAAAGAACGTAGTTGCCCAATACTGCAGCCAAAATATTTGATCATATTGATATTTTGCCTTCATCTACTAACCTAGTATAACCTTCTCTTTATAGGAAGTCTAGATATGCTGATTCTGAATCATATTGGCAACTCCTACTTCCATTATTTCAATAGGGACATTGAACATGTGCAAAAACTTCTGAACATCAATTTCCTAAGCTATGTAACGATGTCAGTTTCAGCTCTTCCCATGCTTAAGATTAGTGGAGGAAACATAGTAGTTGTTTCATCTTTGGCAGGTGAGCATTAATTCAGTGTACAGCAATTTTGGAATCTTAAAGCTTTTACAAATGTTATTGATTTTCCTGTTATCAGAATTATGATTTGACTGTTACACTCATATGACTTCAAGTTTAACTGACTACATTTATGTGTACTCTATCTTCCTTTTCTAATATGCATAATTATCCTGTGGGGTGATCAAATCACAATTTCAATGCATTTTTGCAGTTTAGGCATTTCATATTAGAGGAAGAAATGATTTCTGAAGCTTCTACAGGCTTGTTCTTTGAAGCATAATAAGGGTTAGATTTTTTTTTCACAAAATAGACTCTGGCATATATTGTTTGTTGGCAGATGCATACTTAAGTATCCTGTGTTCAATAGAGTTTGTAGACTTTTTATTAATCTTTTCCCTCTGTTTTTGATACATATCTATCATAAATGTTTCACTTTTTGAAAGTATGTCTAGTACATAAAATCAGAATAATCCAGGTTACTGAGGGTTACTTCATGATCATCAAGGGCTTTTAAAAATGAACAACTTTTTTAAAAGTTCATGCCAGAACTAGTTGAGCTCTATAATGGAAAGCAAGGAAAGGCAGGCTTACTAAGTCACCTAAAGAAACAAAAGTCAGAAATGGAAAGGAAATGTTTTCTTTGCATCTCAGTTCAAAGTATTTAAAAAAACAATCTCTCAAGGAAAGTAGGCTTCTGTCACTATGAGTTTGGGGCATGGTTAGGATAAGGAATCAAAAGTGAGTTTTAATTAAAGATAAACAGTACCTTATTTTTTTATTTAAATCATCTTTCAACATAGAAGGATGTTTATTTTGAATAGAATCTAGAATAGAATAGAATCTAGAATAGAATAGAGAATCAGGGAGGAGAAAAACGTACCTCATATATCTCTAACATTATTATTCATGGCATAGTATAAATTATATTTATCATTCTAATTGTGGAATTTCTAGGAAAAATTGGCTTCCCGATGACTGTTCCTTATTCTGCAACCAAGTTTGCACTAGAGGGATTTTTCAACTCTTTGAGGCAAGAATTTGTTATGCAGAACATCAATGTTTCCATCACGCTCTGCATCCTTGGACTCATCAACACGGGTACAATTCTGATTTCCACATCTCATTTTTTTAAGATACTGGACTTTCTTGTCAGGCTGATGCTGGCCAAGCTTAGACATTTTCTAGAATTCAAAATCATTATGAAATAGCCTTAAAGGACTATTTGATCCCCTATAAACCTGGTTGACACTAGAACTCCCAGTACTCTCCAGCCATCATGAAGAACACAAAATTGACAAATCATCATAGATTGTAAAATCATTAAATATTAGTTCATTTTTTAAAATGTTACCTTAGTTCTCAAATAAGGATTAGTCACATTAGAAAAGTAGATCATATGTTGGAAGGCCTAATAAATAAGATCTGCCAACCATTAGGAAAAGACCATATAAGCTTTCATTTAATGATGAAGAATCATTTTAGCAAAACAGTTAGATTTATCAGCCAACTCTAGTATATCCTCCTTTGCTTTTTCTGGATATTAGAGTCTAGTCTTTCTGTAGCCTGAGACTTTCAGTTATGTTGAATTGAAGAATGTATACTATCCATCCAATATTTAAGAATATATAATATAAATCCATATTGGTATCTGCAGTACTGAGTGTTAGGAATGTAAGTCACCTAACAGTTATTTGGGTTGGAAATATATAAACTAGGATAGACATTTTAATACTATATCTTTAAGAGAATGATAAAACTGTAATTGGGTGTGGTTCCACAAATGGCCATAAGATGGAGCCAGAAATCTGGTTTGTTTAGTCTCAGTGAGTTTCTGTTGTCCTTTTCTGGAGAGTGTTGCCCTTCCTGTATTGACTGTTATTCTTGGATTTGATGTAAGTCTGCTACTGAACTGTTTTTGATACTGGACTTTGATATTTGGATTATCCCTAAAGTTCTAGTTTTGATAAGAACATTTATCAGTCCTTGATTGGTAGTTTATCTTATCTCAGTAATTGGTCAAGGCCAGATATTGCATACTGTGTTAATCAATTAGCGAGATTTAACTCTGAGCCAACTGAAAGGCACTGGTAAGCTGCTAAGCATGTGTTAGGATATCTGAAACAAACAATGCATTATGCATTGTATTTGGAGCCTAAAGATGAACTGAATTTAACCGCATATGCTGATGCAAGTTTTGCTACAGCCATAAATACACGAAAATCTACATCGGGTACTGCAGTATTATTGGGAAAAGCATTGATTGGATGGAGGTCTCTTAGACAGAAACATCTAAGTTTGTCAACAATGGAGGCTGAATTCTCATGTTTGTCTTTATTATGTCCAGATTTAGTTTTGTATAAGCAATTATTAATTGATATGGGAATTGATATAAAAGATCCTATTGTTGTTTATGAAGATAACCAATCAGCAATACAGATGGCTTCAAATATTGCTGTTAAAACAAGAATGAAACACACAGATTTAAAATATTTAAATGTGAGACAGTGTGTGCAAAGTAAGATGATTAAGCTAGAATACTGTATGTCAGAAAACAATATAGCAGATCATTTTACAAAGGCCCAAGACTCTATAAAGCATAAGGCTTGCTGTGAGGATTACGGACTTAGAATGTAAGGTTGTATATATTGTCCTACTGAAAGGGGAGAATGTTAGGAATGTAAGTCACCTAACAGTTATTTGGGTTGGAAATATATAAACTAGGATAGGCATTTTAATACTATATCTTTAAGAGAATGATAAAACTGTAATTGGGTGTAGTTCCGGAAATGGCCATAAGATGGACCCAGAAACCTGGGTTGTTTAGTCTCAGTGAGTTTCTGTTGTCCTTTTCTGGAGAGTGTTGCCGTTCCTGTATTGACTGCTATTCTTGGATTTGATGTAAGTCTGTTACTGAACTGCTTTTGATACTGGACTTTGATATTTGGATTATCCCTGAACTGAAAACTGACTGCTTTATCTATGAATGACTTGAACTGCTTATCTTGGACTTTGCTTAAAAGTTTATTGGAAGTAAAAGCCTACATTTACTGTACAGTATATCTATGTGCTGTGTGTGTGTTATTCTTCACTACTCTCACTACGTCTCCCTGTATGCGCTCATTCTCCTAACGTGGAATTACCTCAACACTGAGGATTATTACAACCCATTTTGATCTTCCAACATTTTTTTTAAATTAACAAAAAATACATTTATTTCTAATTCATAACTTTCCAGACGTATTTATATGTAAGCATTCCCAAACTTTTTCCCCATAGATGCATCTTTTATAAATGTTCCTTTTAAATGATTTTTAGATTTACATAGCTGCTATGTATGTGCAGGTAGTCCTTGACTTACAACCATTCATTTAATGACTGTTTAAAATTACAGCAGGAGTAAAAAAGTAAAAAAGTTATGATCATTTTTCACACTTATGACCGTTGCAGCATCCCCATGATTACATGATCAAAATTCAACTGATAAAATTGGCAACTGATGCATATTTATGACAGTTGCAGTATCTGGAGATCATGTGATCCCCTTTTGCAGGGATCAAAAGTCAATGGGGAAGCAAGACTCACTTAACAACCATATTGCTAACTTAAAAACTGCAATTATTCGCTTAACAATTATGGCAAGAAAGGTATTAAAATCAGGCAAATTTACTTAACAACTGTCTTGCTTAGCAACAGAAATTTTGGGCTCAATTGTGGTCATATGTTGAGGTACCTGTATCAGTTTTAGTAATTGCTACAGAAATCCACACCCTCCCTCCTTCCCTTCTTCCCTTCCTTCTTCCCTTCCTTCCTTATCTGGTTTTTATTAAAAATAATCCTAAGGATCTAACAACATATATTAACAAAGCATACAACATTATATAATTAAAACCTAGAAATATTCTGTGTGGATATTGAACAAAAAATGACATGTAACTTTGACCAGTGCTTAGACCTGATGGCTATAACTCAGACAATCATAGCATGAATAGGTTGGGAACTTCATAAAAGGAATATTTGAATTGAAAATTCCCTCCCTTAGGTTTGCATGTAATGAATCTTCAGCACATTGGGCATTATCAAGGATGGTAATTACTAGACTACTCCTACTGTAGACTCCTAAATAACAATGTTTAAATCAGTTCAATGAGTACTGAAAAAAGGACAATTTTTAAGATTATGTTTTCAGACCTTGATTATAAGCAAAACATCTTTCTATCTGAATTATTTTGGTGACAAAAGATCATTCAGTATAACCCATTGCAGGATAATCCATTGCAGGATACACTTTACTGCATGAAATATATATAGTGTGAAATCATTACTAATTCACAATTAACATTTTATTCTCTCTCACACACACGTGCAAATTTGAATTGACAATTATCTAGCTGAAAATAAGAGTGTGTTTTTCTGCTTCCATCATTTCTAGAATTCTAGAAATCCTGTTCTGAACTTTGAATATCCAACACTTAGATAATATTTGCACTAACTATTGCACAATTCATTAGAGCTTCATAGGACTGCTGTTGCTTGGGCTTGTTTTGCAGGAAGTGGAAGGATACATTAGACATAACCCACACTTGCAAAATTCATGAGACATTATTTGAAAGAAACAAGGAGTCTCAATATGGAAAAAATGTATTTTTTTTTGTATTACCAAAATTATAATTTCTTATCTGTTTACTCAAGGTATAATATGTTTGAGAATGGGGGAGGGGGTTGTGTAAGAACAGTTCAATACAAGATGATTTGTAGTGATCTGATTCCTCAGCCATGAATACTTTCTTTTTTTCTGCTCTTAGAAAATGCAATGAAAGCGGTATCTGGTACATTCACTCCTTCACCTGCACCAAAAGAAGAATGTGCCCTAGAAATCATTAAAGGGGGCATCCTACGTCAGCGGGAGATTTATTATAAATATCTTTTTACAAAGATCCCCACACTTTTGCGAGACTGGGTTCCAGAACTCATGGATTATTTCTTACGGAAATGTTTTAATGTGGACAATCTAAACCAAGATTAATCACAATCTGTCTGTTCGCTGCCTCTGCATTTTTCTTTTCTGGATATGTGAGTTAGAATTTTTCAAACTTTGCAACTTTAAGATGTGTGGGAATTGAAGTCCTCAGAACTTAAATTTACCAAGTTTGAAAAACATGAATATAACCTATAGAAGAGAATATTACCAAACTGATCTTGAGATTCACTATGCTGTTATATATAGACCCCAAATCCAGTTCTGTTTCTTGGGATTTAAGACTATCAATTATTGCAATATAGATATTTATAATCTGGAATAGGAACAATTTATGTCAGGGATCCCCAAACTTGGCAACTTTAAGACTTGTGGACTTCAACTCCCAGAATTCCAAGTTTGGAGACCTCTGATTTAGGTAATTGCCAAGTTTGAAGACCTCTGATTTAGGTAAATGTAGTTATCTTAGAAAAACTCAGGTTAATGATAAATATTTTGTCTGCTCTTAAACTGCAGCCAGATGGCTGTTTCTCTTAATCTGCAATCAGAACAAAACATGACAATTTCATAAAGTGAACAGTTGGGAGAAAAAAGTTGTAACACCGTGCAGAGTTTCATAGTTTTGCATCAACTCCTTATGTAAATTTCTCACATAAAGAGGAATAAGTGCAAGATACCCTCTGGCTTGGACTGATAGGAGGTACTTGATCGTTAACACATCTGGAATTAAACATTTGGCATAAAAAGTACATTTTTTAAATTTTTCAAAGTTTTAAAATTATTTCAAAGTATCACTTGAAAATGTTTATAGTAATTTTAGTAAAGATATTAATTACAATTATAATTATAATTAATGCAAACTAAAAAATGAAAAAGAGTAGAAGGTGCAGAAAAAGGAAAAAGCAAATAGAAAAGAATGTAAGCAAAAAAAAAGAAATATATAAATGTCTTTTAATCTTCAACAAATAAACCAATGTAATATTACCTTTTTTTACTTCTAGTCATCTTAATCTTTAGTCCATGCAAATAATGTAATAGTACTTGATTTCTTCATTTTTTCTTTGTCATCTTCTCTTTCTTCTCATAAGTACTTCAAAACTTTAAAACAAAACTTTTGCAAATCTAATATAGGAAAAATATTCAAATCGCTCTCTTGGTTTATTGTTTGTATGTGACTTTTGGTTATTAAAACATTATCCAGGGTTTTTTTGTATGTCCATGTCAATCTTGTTCCATGTCGACCTTGTAGCCTGTCATTTGTAAATCCACTTTCAACTCAGTCTTGTCAGGGAAAACTTGCTCCTCTTCCATAACATTTTTTTCACATAGTCTCTCTATAGAGGCATATATCTCTGTTGACACTATTAATGCTAACTTTTGTTTCCATTTTTCAAAAATATCAATATGTCCAATGTTAGAATATTTTGCTCCATTTTGTGATTGTATGTGTAGTTATGTGTTCTTGTTTAATTGTAAACTTTAGTTCCCTCTAGTGGCCATTTTATATATGTGGTGTATGTGTATGTTTAAAATATAACACAAAGACATTTCTCTAATGTGAAGGATTCTTTATAGTTAATTCCAAAGTCTTGTTTCAAATTTACTTGGATCATTAGTCCGTTTGTAATTTCCTAAAATCAAAGTTTTCTGTTTATTATCTTTTTTTAAGTTCTTAAACTTGTAGTTAAAACTTTCTTTTGCTAAGGATTGAAGGGAAACACATCCAAATTTGTCAGTACAAAGGTTTCCAATAATTGAAAAGCAATTATCAAGCAACGTTTGAAAGCCCTTACATTTAAAGGTTTACATAAAAGATTTATATTAACAATTCTTTTTTAAAAATATTTTGTGCATCCAATATTTACCACTGATGATGATGAAATTTACAACTAACATATCTGAACAATACCAGTGAGTTGATCTTAATGTAAAATGTAACTTTTGAAACTTAATTGTGTTCTGAACAAAAGCGGAATTAAGAAAAAAATACTTTATAGTTCATTACTCAAAGGAACCTAATTGTAAATAAGAAAAAATATCTATATCATATGGTTCACCATCACACAACTTTCTTCCATTTACATTTAGTTATTTGAGATGGCCATTATATTTGCTTTCATTTTGATTTTCTCATATTTTATTTTTTTTAATTTGTTTTGTTTCTAGTTATTGTCAAGGACAAAAGGTCAACAGGCCATGAGGATATTGATCCCATACTTTTCAATCTACTAAGTCTATTATGATTATTAAAACATGAGCTCGAGTCCCACTTTAGCCATGAAAGTTGCTTGAGTTGTGTGTGGAAGATAGGCATTGAATATGTTTGCCACTTTCAGTTATATATAATCAATGTAGCCCTTGAACCAATAGAAGTGATATAGTTTTGCCTGCAATGAATGAAATTCATTGGGTAATGCTGGGAAAGTCACAATCTTTTAGCTTTATCTGGACCACAGAATTGCCTTGGTAAAAGTAACACCTGGAGTAGAGAGTGATGTAAGCTTTAACTGGAAATCCTGAGGAAAGGCAGAATAAGTAAACAAAATTAATGGTGAATAATTTGCTGGCATATTTATTTCAAAACTATAAACATTATTATTCTCTATGCAATACTGCTTGTTGGGGAATATTGGATTAATATCAGTCATTTGAGTTTGTAATAGGATGGGAAATGTAGAAAATAATTTTGCACTAGATAAGACTTTGGTCTCGTCCATCAGCTTGTACTGCAAACAAATTTGTATTTTTGAGCAGATACATTTTTTTTTTTTAAAGGAATATTTTAATAAGCGATATCAAGCATTAATGTTGCTGCTACTAGCAGGTAATTTGAGGTTGAAAGAAAATATCCTGCAGTGAGCCCATTCACCAAAAGACATAAGATTCATTTATGACTTAGATAAGGGAATAGAAGGGGAACTTACCAAATTTGCAGATGATACCACGCTGGCAGGAATAGCTAACACCCAAGAAGATGGGCTCAAGATCCAAATGGATCTTGACAGACTAGAACACTGGCCTGTATCTAACAAAATGAAATTCAATGTAGAGAAAAGTAAAGTCCTACACTTAGGCAGGAAAAACCAAAAGTACACATATAGACTAGGTGAAACCAGGCTCAATAGCAGTAACTGTGAGAGGGATCTTGGAGTTAAATATGAGCCAGCAGTATGCAGCAGCAGCCAAAAAAGCTAATGCAATCCTAAATTGTATTAACAGAAGGATACAATCAAGTTCAAGGGAAGTACCAATATCACTCTATAAAGTCTTAGTAAGTCCACAGCTAGAGTACTGAATCCAGGTTTGTTCACCACATTATAAAAAAGATGTTGAGACTCTAGAAAAAATACAGAGAACAGCAACCAGGATGATTAGGGGACTGGAGGCTAAAACATACAATGAAATAATAAATAAAACAATAATAAAATATACAGGAACTGGGCTTGGCTAGTCCAGTAAAGAGAAGGACCAGGGGAGACATGATAGCCATCTTCCAATATTTGAGGGGCTGCCACAGCGAGGAAGAGGTCAAGCTATTTTCTAAAGCACCTGTAGGCCAGACAGGGAATAATGGATGGAAACAAGGAGAGATTTAACCTGGAAATAAGGAGAAACTTTTGGACAGTGAGAACAATCAACCAATGGAAACAGCTTGCCCTCGGAAGTTGTGGGAGCACCATCACTTGAGACTTTCAAGAAGAGGTTGGACTGCCATTTGTCAGAAATGGTGTAGGGTCTCCCGCTTGGGTGGGGGGTTGGACCAGATGACCTACAAGGTCCCTTCCAACTTATTATCTGTTATATGGTTTCTTTGTTATATCATGTGAGACCATCTTTCAGATACTGGATTATAATGAGTTTTATCAAAATAATTTCCAGGGATAAATATCCACAATTTTTCCAAAACCATTTCCTGTAAGAAATAATAAAGAATAAAGGAAGTTAGGGGTTTTTTTTAAAGGAAAAGAAATACAAGTTATGTACCCTAACAAATGAATATACTTCATTCATGTTCCATTAGACAGGATATATTCTGTCAATTTAAATTGTTCTCTCTCACAATGATTTTAGACTAGTGTGATTTCATGTGCTAGCCACAGCTTCTTGCAAGTAAGGGCAAGCTCAAGGTGCTAGGCTGATAACTGCAGCAAAGAGTTGTTTGCTGTAATTCAGATGTGAGCTGCAAAAATGTGGATAGCCAGGAGATGGCAGTGAAGAATTATGATCACTGGATTGTCTAGATTTTGGCAGTTCAGATGTGGATATGTTACCCAATGTTGAAAGAAATGTAGGTGTGTTTGCAAGAAAAAAAGGCAAATTACTACAAAACTGCTTATAGAAAGCTAGACTTCCTTAGCGTATCAGAGTAAGGCAGAATGAGGGAGGGAGGGAGGGAGGGAGAGAGAGAGAGAGAGAGAGAGAGAGAGAGAGAGAGAGAGAGAAATTTAACTAAACTCAGAGCATTTCCAGTTCTTTGAAAAAGGAACAGTGAGTTGTTGTCGTTTACAGCAAGTTAACAGTTGATAACTAAGCTAATGCTTTGGATCTTGATAAACTTCAATCAGGTCTACCACTGAGAAGCAAAGGTAAGGACTGCTCTTTAGTAATGACCTCAGTTTTAATTTCTAAGTGAAGAGAGAACAAGCACATTTGTTCTAAAACAGATCAGCATTCTGACATTCCCTTGCAACAATGCCTGTACGGAAAAGATAAAGGACATTTGTGTTCATCAGAGAAAAACAAATTGGTCTAGAAAGGAAGGAACCCAATAATCTGATAATTAAACCTCAAAAATATACTCAGGTCAGTGAGTTAAGTAACTCCTCTTCATCGTTCAGAATTATTTAAAGGAAGTGCTTTGCAATTAACTGCACTATAATAAAGATATTGAAAGACATGGCATCTGAACAAGGTAAGCTATTATTGAGTGCTCTGAAAAGAGTGCCAGTTAATTCACTTCTGGGGGTACCAAGTCATTCAAATGTCAGATACACACATAAAATACTTAAAAACTCATCTTTAAATTTCCCTCAACTATAGACTCTGCAGATTAATTTTGAATAGACAAATCAATTTTTTATTATTACAAATTGCCATAGGTAAATGCTAGACAGTTCTCCATTTTAGCCTAAAATTTAATGCAAAACTGCATTTCCAGCAAAATGGGGGGACGGACAGTGGGAATCAAACAGTGATGGCAATTTTTCTTTTTTTACAAGAACAAAATCCCTAGGGGACATGGCCTGGTGAAAGATGCATTCCATTCTATTTTCCATCTAGAACAATTCCATGGCTATTTAAGTCCCAGAATGCTATCTGCAATAGCTATTGTGATTTATTTAATCTTCAGTTTCTGGAACAAAATACAGAACCCATCCAATCAGAATATATATCCCTTTGTCATATTTTGGATGATCTAATAAAAGTATTTCCTGCTGTATATTTTATATTTCTAATTTCCAGTGTGATTGTCTATTATTTTTGGTAACTCATTCAGTAGCACGACTGGAAGAGCGATAGAACATTTTATGGTGGCAAAGTATCAAGTCTAGTGATAGCTTTTCCAACTAACCAATTTTATTAAAAGCTATAAGTTTTTCTTTAATTGTCTTGCATTTAAATTTCTTAGTCATAAAAGGTGTGATCAGGTTTCTTCAGATTCAGTTTCATGGTCTAACAAGAGTTTCTTGGGTGGATATATTAATATATCCCACTTATATAAAACACAGAATCATTCAATATTGGGGTGGGGAAAATTAATAAATCAAATACAATATAGCATTGAAACCTAGAAGTAAATTTCTTAACTAATTTCTTCCCCTAACTGCTTCCTTAGTAATATGAAATAGAAAATGAATTCCTACAGGAATAAGATGACACATATCAAACAACTATAATAGTTCTAAGCAATTACATTTTAGCTGAATATAAATATCTTATTTAATGGTTTATCCAAACATCAGGATGAAAAAGTATGCTTTCCAATAAATTGGAGGTAGTTTAAAAATAAAAAAGCTTTTAGGTACTATCTATAAATCAATTTAAAATATTTTTTACAGAAGTATAATGAGAAAAAAATAATGCATCTTGGGGTCACAAGTTGCTTTTCCTTGCACTAAAAATATTGTTTAGTATAGCAAGGAATTAGGTACAGTATATTAGTTATGAGTAAAATAAAGAATTGCAACTATTTTTTTCTACAGCTTATA